TCATTAATAGTGTTGTCTGTTTTATTTGTTACAGACCCTACCGATCTCACATCCTACTAATTTCTTTCTAATGTGAAAAGAACTTGAACTTACTGAGCACAGAACTTCAGTTAAAAAATGACCAAGACTTGCTGATCTACTTAAGGAAGTAAAGTTATTTTGGCTAAAACTGGTCATGTGGACTGAGCCTGAGAAAAACATCAACTGCATTTGCTTCCCACTACTGAACTTCTCTAGTCTCAATATATTTGCAAAATTTGAAGTCTTGAAGTCACATTTACATAAGACATCCACAGATCATAAGTGTCATTCTTGCTTTAACTACTCATGTTTATCTTTATTGCATTTGAATTATCTTTAAGCATTTACTCTATCAACATAGGTCAATTACAAAAGCTCTGAACTAATCTGAAAAGCAAATCAAGCCCACCAAATGAAACACAACATTCTTTATACTAGGAAGTTGAGGACTTACATATGAGAGTTGTCCTAAAATCTTTGAGCAAACTAAGAAAGGTTAGAGTTCAGCTAGTTTCAGGAAAGTAGATTTCCTTTCATTAAAGTAGATGAAACAGTTATAGAGAAGCAAATTATGTGATAGAAACCCTGATAAAAATAAACTTGGAAATGTGTTCTGATACTACAGTCCACAGTTCTCCCAGATTGGTTCCTGCTATTTAATTCCAATATTCATTGGCTTGATCAGATACTGAGATTAGGCCCCAAATTCTGCACTTTTATATAAAAATGAACTATTATACTGCTTTTGGAGTGCTTTTTCATAATGCTATAAATGTATATTTTTTTTTGTTAATAGGTGGTACTTATCAATAAAATGTTAATTATTGTGCATATATATGGGTTTCTGATGATGTGGACCACCACTGGATAAATTTAGATCCTCCTGCTCTTATCTCTACACCAACAACTGGGCAGATCACCAGACATTACCCACACACAGTAAGTCTTTCACTTACAAAAAAAAAAAAAAAAAAAAGACTTTCTCAACAAGTATTTAACAGTATGCCCTAGGAGAAAGGAATATACAAAAATTCTTAGATCACCAAAAGAACAAGCTTTCTCACCTCTGTGCCCTTTCTTTCCTATGTTACTTTTCTCACCACTAACCCTCCCTACATTTTCTCCACAGTTATCCTATAAATACAACAAATAAATATAAATTAATTGCTTGAGGCATGTTGTCACCCTTAATTTAAAAAACTTAGAAGCAGCAAGCACTAATTCAATTTACCTGTATCCAAATATTAATTACTGAGCACCTGCCTCCTGAAATGTTCTGTGCTAAGGGCCAGGAACATAGTCCTCACTCTCCTAGAGCATTTGACCAGCAGAGAAAGCAAATGAGTAAATGTAGGAATTCCAACAGGGAGAGCTCTAAAGGGGAAAGTGCTATGAGGGAGACGTATTTAAGGGGTGTCTGTACTTCTTTGTAGGAAGGGGAGAAGAGGAAATATGGGGGAGGGAGGAAAGAAGGAGGCCTCCATCAAATGTGAAGAGTAGTGCAATCTAATCAATTAAATAACTGAGTAATATTTAAACTCCTACAATTAAGTTTTCCCTTAAAATTAAAATTAAGATAATTATCCTTAAAGCCTTAAAAAAAGAAGTTACTTACCTTTGATATCAATTATTTGGATATCATAGATGAAAAAATCTATTTCCTCTTCACTCTTCTAACACAGAACTTACCTTGTTTTAAAACCAAAATATCTAACAAAAGGTTGTTAGTAACAAAAGTAAGCTTTGTGTACTTCATAAAC